TGCCCGGCTCGTCTCTCACTGACTAACTGATTGGTAATTATGCCAATAAAATACAACATAGACTCTTTTAATGAATTCATGTATTTATTTTGATTTGACCAAAAGAAAAATCAGTAACTGTCTGACCTGTTTGGTTTCTGTTAAAGTTAAAAGGATGGAGCCTCAGACTGTGCTCAGTGATCAATAATGAGAACTTCTCTCTGTGGCTCTGAGTTGTGTTCAGGTGCTTCCTGACAGCGGAGTTTGCCCCTGTGAGTCAGGAGCGTCTTTATCGGCTGATTTTTCATGAAATCATGAAATAATAAAATCTGAATTCTGACTTTGTCGCCTGTTTGTGACCCGTCACTGATTCTGTCAGTGTTTATATTTGTTAAATTTACTCAAAAGACGATGTTGCTGTAATTAGATTACTTTATGCAGGCATAGAGAATTACATTGAAGCTATTATGGGATGCTCGTATTAACACACTTCATTTTCATTGTTAAGTTTCAAAGGGAGAATCTGTAAGAGGACTTCATTTAAGCGAGCCGTGACGTGTGAGCGTGCTCGATGAACTCGTGATGCTCTCTGAGAGGCTCTGCTGGAGCTGGCGGGAGGTTTTTAGGGGGGGCTGTGGACCTAATTAGGTCAGGTTGGTTTTGTGTGTGGCTGAAGATGTGCAGAATGAAGCCACACCGGAGTGGTTTCCTGGCAGCTCTTATTTTGATTTATTTAATACTTTTTTTGGCCTCATTGTCTCCGTCTGATTCGCAGCGGCGCTCTGAAACCTGATGAGGAGTAAATGTAAAATTGCAGCCTGTGAGCCGGGCAGCGTGTTCGGCGTGATGTTTCCACTGTACATTGTTTGTTTACAGTCTGTCTCCTGTTGCCCCGCAGCTCGCCACGTGGGACTCGGTTCACGGCCTGAACGGCAGCCTGAAGGAGAGCCGGATAGAGAACGGCATGCAGGGAGTCACGGTCAAAGTGGTCACGTTACTGGTAAGTGGACGCTATCGTGGACACGATCAGTCGATCTAACTTCCTGTAAGAAAGGAGAGCATAAGAAAACATGAGGTCAAAGGTCAAGACTTTTCATTTCCTTATAGTCTTCTTATTGTGAGCAGAGGAGTGGGCCTTTGTGATCATTAGAAAGAAGCAGGTTTCAGGGTCCCGGTGACAGCAGAGTAATCAGAGTAATCAGAGTAATTAGAGTAATTAGAGTAATCGGGTATTTCAGACGTCGCTTCCTTCAGCAGTGTTTGGTGTCCTCGGTCAGATGAGACATAAGTGATTTGTTGGAATCTGATGTTTGTTGCTCAGATGCTTTGTGCATGATAAAGATCTGCAGTAGCTGAATGTCTCTTGTTAGATTCTCTGATGCTCCTGCAGCTCCGAGAGCGTGCGATCCAGAGGAGCGCTGCATAAACAGCATCGCAGCTCCGTGTTTACATCGATAGATAGATCCACTCCAGAGTTGTTGTTGTTATTACAGCATTTTCAGTTCAGTCCTTTAAGCGTCGGTTCAACTGCATCTCAAAGATAACAGCACAAAATAAACCAGAGAATCCACAGAAATCTCTCCGTCAATAGAAAATCTGCTTTGTATGTTTTTAGGTTTCGTGTTTGATCAGCTTCGAGTCTCCGCGCTCGCTCGTGTTTCTCCTCCGGTCGCTGTGATTAGAAACACCAGCAGCAACTTCCTCTTGTGTCGGCACAGCGGCGTGGAGACGCAGGTCTAACCGAGCGAGACTAATACCTTTACTCTGCCATTCATCCACTGCAGCTGCAACACTTCAGGTCTCACGCTGCCAGAAACCTGCACACACACAACGCTTTAACCAGCATACTCGGAGAAACACAGCATGTACCTCTGAACCTTCTTCATCCTGAGCTCGCTGTTGTTTTAGGCTCTGCTCAGAGTCAAAGCGAGACTGTAGATCGTGACCTGCCCTGTATTAACATCATAGCTAAATGTGCAGTTATACTACCTGTGAACACGTCCTCTCCTGCAGACACCTGGTGCTAAAAAACAAAAAAATGAATCCAGATGATTCTGTTTAATATCTGAGATCGAATGGCTGAAAAGCTTTGAACAGAAAGACAAACGTTGTCTTGTTGCAGCACATTAAAGGCAGCGTCACGTCGCCCTGTTGTGAATATCCAGTCTGGGCTTGCAGAGCAGATTTTCTCTTAGTGCAGCTGGAGCCGAGTATAACTTCAGTATAACTTCAGTATAACTTCAGTATAACTTCAGCTTTGGGGTATTTTTGCATTTTTTAGGTCCATTTTTAAGATGCATGAACTGAAACTTTCAGCTAGTCAAACAAAGTTTTCAGTGTTTGCGCGCTCGCCTCCTAAAGGCTGACAAACGTTGATCTCGCTCTTTGTTTCTCGGTGTTTTTGCTCGGAGCTGCAGTTTGTTGATCGCGCAGCATCGCTCGGCCCTTTGCTTCACTGCTCTTTCTCGCTGCAGGAGGATCCTTTTGTCATGGTGGCGGAGAACATCCTCGGGCAGCCAAAGAGATATAAAGGCTTCTCCATCGACGTCCTGGACGCCCTCGCCAAGATCCTGGGCTTCAAATACGAGATCTACCAGGTGAGCTGAGCAGCAGTCTGTCATCTGGTTTGAGCACTAACTCAGCTTCACCTCAGCTCCAATCTCACCATTTAAAATACTGTTTAATTGCATTTATGCAAACCACAACAACAGTCGCCTCAAGGAGCTTTATATTGATCATCTTCTGTTTTCGGGCCGATGTAAACGAGCTTCTGAGACGTTGGGATAAACTCGCTGATTTTCTTCTTCTCCTTCCTCTCAGGTCGCGGACAGTAAATATGGAAGTCGGCTTCCCAACGGCTCGTGGAACGGCATGATCGGTGATCTAATCAACAAGGTAGGGCCTGCACCACCTTTCTGTTCTCTTACTCTCGGTCACTTCGGAGCGTGAACAAAAACCCTTCCTCTCCCTCGCCCTGCAGAGAGCGGACCTGGCGGTGTCCGCCATCACCATCACGCCAGAACGGGAGAACGTGGTTGATTTCAGCAAGCGCTACCTGGACTACAGCGTCGGCATCCTGCTCCGAAAGCCCGAAGAGAAGATCAACATCTTCTCTCTGTTCGCGCCCTTCGACCTCGCCGTCTGGGCCTGCATCGCCGCCGCAATCCCCGTGGTGGGAGTGCTCATATTCCTCCTCAACAGACTGCAGGCGCTGCGCTCCTCGTCCCAGAACGCACCTCCCGGTCAGCCGGCTAACGGAGCAGGGTCGGGCACCCTGCACAGCGCCATCTGGATCGTTTACGGAGCGTTCGTGCAGCAAGGTGAGAAAAGGTGACGTGGAGAGAAACGCTGTTAGGGATGATTCGGAGCAGGCAGGCGTTCCCGTGGTCGAATTTTCCATAAAAGCCTCTTTCAGGAGTGTGAGCAGTCATCAGGAAATCATCAGCCGACTGCTTGACTGTGACTTTGTCCTCAGTGTTTTAAATGTCACGACTTTCCACAAAGTTCTCTGTGAACTTTCCAAGAATTCTTTAACAGACAAAAACGTTTCTAAACGTCACCTCTGCCCCTGAAATGTCCTCAGTGTGCACGTAAACAGTGCACACACACACACACACACACACACACACACACACACACACA